ATGAAGTATCCAAGAAATTAAAAAATGAGTTTTTTTTTACAGAAAACACTTTTTGGAGGGACTTCAAGCGCTTGAACGAAGATAAAATGGCTGAATATTAGATATTCTTTTTCAATTATAAAAAAAACTATCTTACTATATCATAATGGTATACACTTTTGATCCATTCAGTTTGTGGACATACTGCAAATACATTTCCTTTCCGAATGGCTCACGAGCATGACAAATCGTCGGCTATTATTCTTTTTGCTCTCATTGACACTTCATTTTTAGCTCGCGAACATTTGTAGGCTCATCTGTTCTAATTAACGTTTTAAAAAATGAGAACTGGGGCGGGTAGCGTAACACGTGCATGGACACTGGAACACAACACGGACCGTTCGCACCCGGGGAGTGGGCGGACCATCATTAATAAAATACCTCATCAAATTTTTATGTCATTCTCGAGTTAACGAACCTACGGGCTGATTTTCATGATATTTTCATGGCGAGAGTAAAAAAAAAGGATTCCCGTCCAGTGTTCGAAACCCACCTTTGAATTTTAGGAGCCAAGTGGCGCATCAAGCCCGATTTTTAGACGCCATTGAAGATTTTTTAGGGGACAAATTGACTTTTTGCCTGTATATTATGGCGCATTTAGTGAAAAGTTAGATGCAAGATCTTTTCGTAACAGAACTAGTAGGTAGCTGTAACTTGGGGAAGACGAATGCACAAAGGATGAAATCGTGAAGAATATAGAAAAAGCTTTCACTTATAGTGCTGAAAATTTCGAATAATCACCTGATATGAAAATTCAGATTTTTAAGGGACAATTTTTAGGGGCCTTGTTGGTGGAGAGCCTTCATTTTTTAGGCGCCATGTCCGATTTCTTAGGCGCATTTGGCGCGTTGGCGCTTGTGAGTTTCGAACACTGATCGATAATCGATCGTTTCGTGATAATCGATTCTTTATCATAGCTTGAAATGGGGAAATATCGATGACCGATCAATCACGCTTCACCACTGATCAGTATATTTTATACCACAGAACAGTTTTTTAACGGTTAATAGGCACTTACAGATAAACGAAAAAAGTATGGCGTTGCCCCTAATTGTGTTATCCTTTCCGGAGGTATAAAAAAAAGGATGAGTCGCAGATTCGTCCTCATGTATCATCCAGCAATATCCGTATTTCCTCCGGGAGGAGGTTCGAAACTTAAAATGTTCCCAATAACTCCACCAGAATTGACCAAAAATCGCTAAAAGTCACATCCAAAAAAAAGTAAAGGCCGTCAAGCTCTTCTCCCTCTCTTCTGAATTACGTTATCTCTGGAGGATTGAGAATCCTCTGATGTAAGGGCGTATCTCAATTTCCACATGAACCCTGCTCCACGTATAAATCTATGTTTTTTGAGGCTCTTGCAACAATCGAGACACGCCTTTACGTCTCAGGGTCGAGGGTTGAATCGTGGTTGAGGCACACAGCCATAAGTTTCAACGCAGGATGGGACCCCGGGGGGCTGAAAAAAAAAGGGAAAGTGGTCGAGTACTTTTTTACTATTTAATTAAGGGGTATGTCCCGTGAACTGCAGTGTCAATTTGAAGCACTCCCCTCACGCAATCTCCTTTCGATACGGATTGAGGGGTCGAGGGTGACCGTCTGGAGCGCCGAATTTCTCCGACCTTGTCCCTCTTGTGCAGGATTTATCGGAGCCGAGCTTAATTACTCGCATTAAATATTCGCCCGTGAAGATCCATGCAAGAACGACGTATCGTTCAATAGAAACTCCGCGCAGATAAGCGGTTTTTTCTGAAGTATAGCAGAGGTGGTGAAGAGCCGGTCTGAGGAGGAGGGACGACCTTTCCTCCGTGCAGCGTAGAAACAACGCAAGTCAGGTGTGGGTTGCGTGTGGGTTTGCGCGGTTTTTGATTGCGTCGGCAGCGGATCGGCCGGTCTTTTTTGTCATTAGCCACACTCTCGGTCGCCTCCCCTGCGATCGGGGGACTTTTTTCGAGGCGCGCTATTCAACAGATGTTGCGAGTCGTCTGCTACACGCATCAGCCGGTCGCGCATTTCGCTGAGCGTCGTTTAATGATCAAAGCGAGGACAAAAACGGCTTAATTTATCATCCCGCCGGAGCGTTTTTTTGTGCGCATCCTATCGAAGGGTTGCGCCCACCCTCTCATAATGCACCCCGGCGATGGAGTCCCGATCATTAGTCCCGATATCTCGGGTCGAGATTACGCCGAGAACTTCAAACTTCGCCGCGCCGCCTCCGGGATCGTCGTGTGTCCGTCATCGCTTCCATTTTTACCACGGATGATTCTGCCGACACTAATTACGGTTTTATCATCTCCGGCATGAAAGCATCGCTGTCGGGGAGACTGCCGTGTTGAGGAACACGAAAAGAACGGATTTAGGACTCTACGGAAGCCATTTTGCCTACTTCGAAGAGTGAAGGCGAAATGCGCTTGCGTCACGTGTGTCTAAGTACTCCCAGGCAGTACTTTCATTCCATGTCCGTCAAAAGTTCCGGGATTCAGAACTTTTTTGTTCCAATTTCTCCCACTCCATGACCGTCAAAAGTTCCAGGATTTCTTTTACATTTTTCAAAGTTCCACTTTTTTGTTCCAATTTCTCTGCTGGCGAAACGCGCTTTAGTAAACCTGCAAGTGTGTCCACGTACTACACGGAAATTTTTGCATTTTGAGTAATACCACTATTCGATCACGTGGAAGGCTATTTTGCCCATTTCAAATAGTGAAGGCGAAACGAGTTCAGGTCGCCCAGCTGCACTTCCGTATGCATTATGGGAGGCTTTCCATAGCTTAGTATACAGTCCATGCATATTTTCACTGTGAATGATACCACTATTCGACCACAAGGGATGCTTTTTTGCCTACTTCGAAATGTGAAGGCGAAAAGCGCTTTAGTAGGCACTGCCAGTGTGTCCACGTACTACACGGACATTTTTGCATTTTGAGTAATGCCACTATTCGACCACGGCTATTTTGCTCCTGGAAGAAGCTATTAATTTTCCTGCTGAAAATTTCCTCTCTCATTTTCTGCTCATTTATTGGACTCCTCAATGAGTTGTCCAGCCACAATAAGCGTATCGTCAGTATTTCAACTATAAGATATCTACCACTGGTTACAACTTTAAAGACGACCTCACGCGTCATAAATGTCCTGCATTTGCCTCTTTTGTTTTTTATTCTTTAAAGAACAGATTTTTTCATAGCACCCTGTTTACTTACGAATGAAATTGATTCGACAAAGCGACTTTCAAATTTGTTGTCGACCACAGACGCAGCGCAGACGGAAGTACGGAACCCCTGCCCGGAGACCACGTTTTTAGTTTTCTGTCAGTGGTGTAGCGTGCTTTGCGATATATCAATCGATCTGAATCGATTAAACCTATAGAAAAGGATCGACAAACAGGGTGTCTAGCTTAATAATCATAGCTTCAAATGGAGAAATATCGATAATCGATCATTCACGCCTCGCCACTGTTTTTTCTGTGTGCCCTCATTTTCTGAAACGATAGCTGTGGATTGCTAGCAGTGCGAAAAATCCCTTAACATCCTCTTCGGGAGAAGTGTGTACTTTCATACCACCTACACAACCATCACTGGATTCTAGTAGTGAAAGTACAGCACCGCTGTCGTGCTGAGGAAAAACGCCGTATGAACATTCGAAAGTTGCCAAATTTACTTCGATAAAATATTTATTTTTGAGGAAAGTTGCTAATATTTTCCCTTTAAATTTTCAGAATCATTTGCTGACATTGCGAACAAAATTATCTGAAACATTGGGAGGAAAATATCCATAAGTTTACCAGAAAATTCGCGTTTTATGGAAGAAAATTTGGCAACGCATGAAGGTTCATGCGTTTTTCCATAGCACGGCGTGTGCAGATCATCCGCCAGTCGATAAAATACGATAATAGAACATCCCACGCCGAATCCGAATCGAATAAGTGAATAAAATTCGCTTCGAGAGAGCCAATCAGAGATGGAGATTCGGCATCCAATCAGAAACGGATTCCAGGAGCCTCGACTCTCTCTCCCTCTCCATCTATAAAAGGACTCCCTTGCTGTCGTGGAACCGGGCGCAAGACACAAGACGAGGAGCGGGCGCTCCGGCGAATTCGAAGCTGGGGTATGTCACAAGATTGTGCCGGAAAATCACCTCTTTCCCCGTAAAACTCGATGTGAAATACAGTGAAAACCAGTTAAGTTACATCTTCAAGAGACCGAGAGAAATGTCGACTTAGGCAGTTGTCCGTCGTAATCGCTTTGCCTACAGCACGAAGTAAGCTAAAAAATTCGAGATTAGCGATTCAAGTGATATTCGAGTTATTTTTAAGCAACATTTCAAAATGTTTCAATACTTACCTCATCGATCATGAATGGTAACTTTTTCAATGGATTTACGAATTCATCAGAAGTCAAAAATTTTAGTGCTCTTACTTCTGTGCTAAGGGTACATTCTTTAATTACGTGACTCACTTTTTCTACATTTCTGCCCTCCCCCTCCCCCTTGTAACGCTTTTGTGACGTACGTTCCGATCCTTCAATACGAAATAACAAAATGGCTTAACAATCTCCTCGACCCTTTTCTCCCTTAGAGCGATACGCAATCTAGGGCCTACCCCTTACTGCAAAAATACAAATGTAGAAAACGTTTCTTCCTCAGGGTATCGCTCCTTCCTTTTGATTTCCCACGTATAAAATCTAATTTTTCTCGAGTTTTCTGGAAAATTTTCTTCCTCTTGAGCAGTTTTTCCTCCGCGACAGTCACAAGCCCCTCATGGCGGCGTCTAGGGACCGAAGATATTTTCAACTCAAGTAGATTTCGTCTTGACCGGATTTTTCTCTTCTTTTTATTCTTCTTCTTCTTCCGCTAACCCCTGTCTGTCAGGTCATCTAGTATCGAGCACAAAAATCTATATAAATATTAAAAATCTAAAAATCACTAAAAATAAAGGATTCGTCGAATCTATTAAAACAGCAAGAAACCTTCAATCATCCTCAGGAGAAGAGAGCCCATCTCTTGGGCGGGTTTTCCTCGTGTGCAAAATTCGGCAACGTCGGGGAGGAGTCGGGAGCCGGGAGCCAGGCCGGCGGACCGCGGAGGAAGGAAGCGACGTCATCGGAGGACGCTGCGACGGATCCGATCTCTATCCTCGGTGGCGGCCCAGTCGCGGCGCGGCGGCGAGGAAGATGCCATGCCCGAGGACGAGGAGATGGTGCTAATAGCTAAACCGAGACTGACCGCGGGCAGACCCCACCGGGGGGGCATACGTGAAATATGACCTCACCCAGTCCTCCTCACGTCCAGCGCCCCCCGCCCCCTCCGACCCACCCCCGCGCCCCCACCGTCGGCCTGACCACCTCGGCAGCCGCTCTCACGCCGCTGTTGCCGTGGGCCCACCAAGCCGCGGAATTCCATCGGGACGAACCGGGCCAGAGTTGCTAAAAGAAATTTCATCGAATGAAATTTCGTGGAATTTCACAAGAAATTTCATGAAATTTCTTTTTCCCCATGAAATTTCTTAAATTTCATGAAATTTCTTGAAATTTCCTCATGAAATTTCTTGAAAATTCCTCATGAAATTTCTTCTTATAATCTTTCACGAAATTTCTTAACTCTGAACCGCGCTTTCTTTCGGTCCATTTGAATGTCTCTTCGGGAAAAGGGAAAGACAGCGAGGAGGAAGATGCGGGGAATGGAGGAAAAAGCAGGCTCAGGAAAAAATCGGAGCAGTAAGAAGGTATAAAAAAGTAGGAAGAAGGAGGAAGATTTTATAGGAGTGAAGAAGAGACTAGAAAGGAGAAGAAATAGCAGAAGCAGCAGAGGAAGACGAGGAACCGGACGAAAAGGAAGGGAGCGAAGGGGAGGATGAAAGGAGCAGAAGAAAAATGAGAGGGAGAATATGAGGAAAAACGAGGAGAACGAGATGGAGAGTTAGTGGGCGAAGTAGAGGGAAAGTGAGAGGATGAAAAAGTGGTCGAAGTATCGATATTATTAATAGGGGCAGGAGGATTCCTGTAGAACCTTAGAGGAAGTTTCAAGGGGTCATTTTGTTTCAACCTTTGTTAAAAAACTAAAACACAAAAGAAAGTAAGGTAACGTGAAATTCCGTAGCTGATTCTGTAGAATTCCGATCGTATTAAAATTAAAAAGAGTTAAAGGGAAAAGTATTTCGCCGTAGTAGGCAACTTTCATTAACTTAAATCGTAAAATGTAGGAAGCTGTATTTCTCATATGCGGATCCAGAAACTTAAAAGCCGGGGGCGTAAGAAAGGTCCGGGGTCCTCTGCCTCCCCCAGAAATTGGTCGAAATTTTAAAGCATCTAATTTGCAGTTTGAATCGATTTCGTCACGAATACTTACCAAATACAAGCGTCCTTCCTTCCTCCTTTTTTGGGCGAAATGGGGGGGGCGTATTCCCACCTATGCCCCCCTTGAATCCGCCAATCATAACTATTCCCTCGCAAAAAAGAAAATATTTGGTTAAAAATCGAATACAAAAAACATATCTTGAAACGTGCCCATTACATACAATGTCTGGAAAATTAAACGTGTGAACCGCAAACATGGATTCATAAGAAAATAATGAAAACAAATTAAAAGAAAGAAGAAAAAAACAGACTTACGGTTGCGCGAAGGCTACATCTCTCTGATTTGACTTTTCAAGGAGACCTCGCGGCAAGAGAGTTTCAAGTACAAATTCCGACCTCACACATCATACAGCGATTCCCCGGCTGTCAATCCGATACACTCCTACGGAGATCTTCTGACTCAGCCTAGAATCGTCGTCTCCCTAGCATAATGCCGCAACTGCACTTAGAAATGAACCCTGTTGCCCATGTAATGTAATGCTTTTCCGGGCTCATCTCAATATGTGGTCACGCCTTTTCGTGAGCCGGGCGATGAAATGACCCGGGGCGTCCACTTGTATCCCATCTTCTGGAAGACGGATCCATGTCAAGAGAGGCCGAAATCTTCGAGAACCCCCTTCTTTTAATCTGATCGCGCATGCATGGCAGAAAAAAAGAAAATTAAAAATTGCATCGTGCGGCTTGTGGGCGACGTCATTTGAGGGCGGTTCGGAGGGTCATATCACTCATTGGTTTTAGGGAATGAGCATGAGCATCAGTATGAGCATTCCAATGGTGGCGAATTTCCCACGATTGAATATTTATTTTATGGATGTTTGTCGTCGGGGATGGGAAAGATTTGGTTCCGAATCGGGGCTTCTGAAAATTTCAATGAAAAATATCTAAAATTTTGCTCAAAAATTCGTGGTGCATTAAAATAAATTTGCCATAGTCCGAATATCCATATGGCGTTCTTCCATAACATGGAGGGACTGTTTTGATTTACGAAAGGAAAGCGCCTATCTTCAATAGAAACCTCATGGACATCCACGGTTTTTGTCTTGGTTTAGAATTTGTGGTGGAACCTGAGGTTAACCTAAGTAAAGCCGCCTCAAAGAGATAGCTGCGTGAGGGAATCAAGACGCTATAGGGTCTTTTCAAGAAAAACTGGTCTTTTCAAGAAAAACTGGACTTTTCAGATATTCATAGGGTTTAAAAGTCTGTTCTTCTGCTTGTCACTTCCCAGTAAGATGCACTTATGTCCTCCAGCAATACGGAACCACCAAAAACTCAATTACACCAAAACCCCTTAAAATTAAAAAAATTACGAAGTTTTCTCTTCATTCTACAAAATCGCCAGTTTGCAGGTAGGCGGTACTGTTCGTTGGCCATCGATATATGGATTTGAATCCATAGATGGTATGGAGAGTATACTTAAGCGTGTGTATGTGGGGGATTTAAGTTGAAAAGGCATCGGAATCATGGATGGCAGGAGTGTGGCTGCGGCCGTTTTGTTGTGAAGAAACGAATAAGGCGAAGGAGGCGCTGGCTCAGCTCGGGCCCGGGCCCACCGCACAGGGGATCGAGTCAATAGGAGAGATCGGACAAAATTTGGAAACTTTAAACGCTTTTAACTCCGTTTATACAAGACTTTGAAATTCTGAAAGTGGTTTCATTGGCTTCCTAATAAAATTTCCTTCAAGAAGCGCCCCTTAAAGTTTAAGATGTGATGAAATAAACATAAAAATTTACAGTTTTAGTCAAAAATTTCATGTGCTACCTCTCTAATCGACTCGATCCACTGTACGGCGGTGGATAAAGAAAAGCTCAAGCGGAGCCATCTACCGCGCTTCGCACTCGCCGCTGTTCCAACCTATTACCACCGATTATGAGCACGAAGCTGATCAGACACGCGCATCATGCGCTCCCTGATGCATCATTGCCAAAACAAGAACAAATCACTAGATTTCCATTCACCACTCACCATCCCATTCTCTTTGCGTCTTGCCCAGGCAACGGGCCGATTATTGAAATTAATAGATGAAATATTAGACATAGAAATAGACAAAGCGATAGACACAGCTATAAACAAAGCTATAAGCGATGGCCAAGCGAGGACAAAGCAATGAATAAAGCGTAAGGCAAAGCGATAGGCACAGAAAATAGGAGTATGAAGCGATCCCATTGGTTGAAATGGGTGGCTCCTATAGACTAAAGGAGAAAATCATGGACTAACTAAAGAGTCTTTCGTGGGTTGCCATTAGTTAGTCTATTACTTACCTCCTTAGTCCATTGCAACCACCCGCTTTCACCAATAAGATCGCTCAATATCCCCTTTTTCTTCTTTGTCTGTAGCTTTGTTATCAATTTCAATAATCTGCCCGCATGGCGGGGCCACCTTAAGGCCTAGATACACACGGCGATTAATCGCCGCGAGTGAAATACGAAAGCCTCTCGCCTTGATGTCGAGATATCGACGTCAATGGATCGAAATCAAGGCTTTCCATTGGTTTTCGTCTTTCACTTACGCTGATTAATTTCCCTACCCTTGAAAGCAGTTACGTTCTTTCGTGAGGGAGACGACGATCTGACCTACCCCTCTAGGTATGAGCACTAAACCGTTTCTCCCCGTGTAAAAGCACCCTTCTGTTCTAGGCAATGCTGCCTTTTCCTGAAAGTAATCCCAAATTTTGAAACTTTTCAAATGATCGGAACTCTTTTTAGCTGTTTTGGAGATTTGTCAAAATTTCGAGGTTTTTCGTCAGTTTGACCAATTTTTTAATCAAATTTGATGCTTTTTCGATCAAATTTGATGCTCTTCCGATCAAATTAGACAATCCTCCGACCGGGCGTATTTCGGCCCGGGTAACTCAGAACTCGCGTGGAGCTTTCCCCGAGAAAATATAAGAAGTACCTAGCACCCCCCTCGCGGAAAAATAGGCAGGGAACTTTTTATCGAGGGCGAAAACTAATTCCGAAGACAAACAAGGATTCCTGACACGGCCGTGGCCGACGAGAGAGCGACTCGCCGCGGACCATATTAATTTACCGGTGAGAAAACAGAGAAGGTCTCGGCGGCGGGGCTGGTGGTGGTGGAAATGAAATTTTTTCCACGGTGGCGCGACGGGGACCGGGGACGAGACGGGCCGAGGGCGAGGAACGTCAAAAGACGATACGAGCCGGGACGAGGTGCCCACCCTGAGGGATCGGGAGAAGTTATGTAAACCAATTTCAAATTCAGCTGCGTTTTTGCATTTTAATGAGGTTAGTACCTCGGCCTCAACCCCGAGGCTCGGATCCTCCGTCCTGGATCTTCTATCCCACCCGTCGCGCGGCCCGGCCGGCCGGCTACGCGGCCGCTCGCTTTAATTTGGCTCGGCCTCCCCCCCCCACCCCCCGCCACCTTACCCCCAGCTCCATTCCATTTTTCCCTTTTTCGTCCGCCGTGGACGGGGGTTTATTTAAAATATTGGTAATAATTAACGCATAAATAAATCATACCCGCTCTGCCGATAGATTGCGCGGGGTCCTCTTGCCCCCTTCCCTGCCCCTCCGCCGCACGGTGGATCGAGTCGATAGGACAGGTCGGACACATTTTGGGAAATTCAAACGCTTAAACGGGTTCCAGAATTTAGCTACAAAAATGTTCTGTGTAGAAACTTTGTCGCATGAACCGAAGTAAGTCACATGAACCAAATAGTACGAAGATTTGGACCGAATGGAACGAAATTGAAATGGATGATATTGAAACCCATATACCGTGGTTCATGAGGCGGAATTTTCTATCTCTGTGTTCACACTACTCATATAAAACTTTGAGGTTCTGAAAGTGGTTCCATTGCTTTCCTCCTGAAATTTC